CTTTTCCAATTCATGACTCCCGGCACATGTGACCCCAACCGCACGACAGGTACCCAGGCACACTAGCGGCACGGCCTTTACAGAATCAGGCTTAGGGACTGACGCTTCCCTTTGTATTTGTAAAGGGTAGGGAGTTTGAAGGCCAGCTGCTTGCACGGACGGAGGATTGTTGACGTGCACTTGAGCGAACGCGTCCTACTAGAGTTGCTAGGGGGTCTAATGACGCGGGCTCCTGCTTACCAACAAGGGGCATACCCCAGATATTGCCACGTGCTGGCTCAAATTAGCATCGAGATCCAAGTAACACGCTGCAGAACGAGAGGCAGTTGGGGTTGGCCGTGCTACCCGCACGAAAGCCTTGGATTCAATGGCGCGTTGAACCTCGATGTGACCCTGGCATTGCTGTAAATACCATGTCCAGCCCCAAAATACCTTAGGAAACCGCTCCACCCTCGTATATGCAAGGTTCCGGACACCAACACAGGCTAGGCGTCGGAGTTGTCATCTTTGGTCTTCAAGACACACCATCATACACCAGCCAGGATAGGGATCGAGACGCTTGGCTCGTATTTTAGAGAGGCGAGAGGGGTTGCCAGAGTCACGCTCACGATTGAGCGGCAGCGACATGAAGAGGAGACACGACAAAAAAAGGAGACACGACATGAAGGGGAGACAGGACAAAAAAAAGGAGACACGACAAAAAAAGGAGACACGACAAAAAAAAGGAGACACGACAAAAAAAAAAGCGATACAAAAAAACCACTGTATTCACAGGACTTTTTCACGATAAAAGTCAATTAAAAAGGCACCAGAAAAAGCAACATAAATAAATATTCAAGCAAGTGCTTCGATTGTTTTGTTCTCCATGTTTTTAATTTGATGTTCAAGTAATGACGCTAGGAGCGTTTCGGTGTCCTGTGGTCCCTCACCGCCTCCCACCCTGCCCGAGCAAGTACACGCGAAGGATCGGAAAGATCAGCGCTGATCACCCCTTCCGTCTTCCCGCAGGTTTCGACTTCTGACTCGCCGCCTCGCGCTCTCTCCCTCGCCCGACAGAGGCTCGAAGTGTTGTCGTGAAGCTACCGGAGCGACCGGCAACGCGCCCATTCAAGGATCAGCGGGAGCACAAGGCACAAGGAAAAGACCCCCGCTAGTCCGAGAGCCTATCTACCTCTAGCCCGTCTCGTTGGCGCATCTGGCGGCTTCACCTAGACCGACGCCGTCCTGGCACCTGCCGGTCTACGAGGCTGAAGTGGCTTGCCGATCTGGACCATTTCCGTATTAGAGCGTGTCCTGTCGGCAGTTTTGCAATCTTTTGTCCTAGTGGGTAAGTCTCACACGAGCGAGGTGGTCACGGCCACCACAACAAGGATTGGCAGTCCCACCCAAACAAGCAAGGCGGGGCTGGAGCTGCCATCTTTGTTTGGTGACGCGGTGGTGTGAATAGCGCGACACGGTTGTGACAGGCCCAGTCCACTTTCAACGCATGGGCCGCGAGCTGCTATGCCATGGAGGGCGACATCACTTCCAACGGCATGCAGATGGCCCGTAACTGCGACGACGCGTGTAGCTAAGTTCGAGAAGTGTCCGAGGGTGGAATCGGGTCGGCAGTCGGAAAACGAGAAACCTGCGGTTGATTCTAGGAAGTGTGGTTCGGGAGGCTGGCAGCTGATTGGCCCAGTCAGGGGGAGGCGGCTGTCAACCAATCGTGTCAACTCAACCGGTAGTGTTCCATGTTTAAACCATCCTTTGACTACCGGAATCATCTCCGATCTATCCAAACGGTCAATCATTTCTTGTCCGGCAGGACACGCTCGAACCCTCGTGTGTGCAAGTTCTACTTGCCTTTTTGACGGATTCCAACCCGGATGTCCAACTCGGATGCCTTCCCTGCGGCTGTTCACGCCAGGCCATTTCCCAGCATCCTCGGTCTCCGATATGGTATAGCACGGCCTCTAATCTAGGGCGGTCAGACAGGGTAAGGGTCCCCGGTAGGCTATTCTGGGGAAGCCGCTCCGCACGGGCTTGTGGCGTTAAAAGAAAATAAATGAGGGTTGAATAGAGGTCTGCGTTTCTTTCCTAGGCAAGGCGCTCGGGTCCGAGGCGAGAGGAACAACCTCGTTCGCAGCATCGAGGGTCCCTGCTCTTTGTCTCGCAGTCTGGGCGAGACTATCACTGTCTCGCTGGTGAGTCACGGTTCTCGGCTTGGATATCGTCGCATGCATTTTGGTCAGGGTCGCCGCCGCGAGGCTCCCCTATCGCTGTCCACGCGTGCCACGATCGAGCAAGCGGCAGGGGACACTCCTCACAAGCTTCAAGCCGTCCGTGCGGTGATCGACAAGATCTCAGCTGTCAGCTGGCCACCCCTCCCATTTCACCCAGGTTGAACTTGTCGCCTCGCACTTTCTCCCTCGCCCGGCAGAGAGGCAGGCGGTGTTATCGTAGAGCCCCGAAAGCGGCCAGCGACGCGATCGTGCACCATCTGTGCGAGCACAACACAGGATGCCCCGTTGAGGTCCTGAGAGCCTGTCGGCCTCCCGACTTCGCTCTCCCAGAGCCTTCCCATCCACACCCCAGAGCCTAGACATGACCTGTCACGTAGGATTCTTCGCTTCTGCAAGTTTATTAAGCCCTCGTCGGCCAACCTCCTCGCTGTCCTGGTGCCAGCAAGGAGAGGGGCTCCCAGGATGTCGGATGTCGGATGTCGGATGCGGGATCATAGGCACCCCCCCCCCTTGCTCACCATGTCAACAGAGAGGTCAGTGCAAAACGGCTGCTTGGATGAGGGGCAGCTTTTAGCTTGCTTTTGGTGTTGATAGCGCGACCGGGGGGCTTAAGCAGACCCTGTCCGCCAGCAACGTGGGCCGTCTGAGAGCTGTCACCTGCTGCCGGCATGAAGCTCCTGGGTTCAGGCACGAAATCTACCTCTCCTCGTCCCCCCCCGCCCCCCATTTAAATTCCAACCAAAGATATCGCACCCTTATCCCTTTGCGTACCGCACGCAGTCCGGCGACGTCTTCAGTCATGACAAGCAATCGAGTTATCGTCCAGCCTAACCTAGAGCCTACGACCTCGGCGGACGACAAGCCCTCCGAGCAAACAATCCCCCAGCCGGGGACCAATCCCTCTATGAGAACCTGTCCTCCGAGAACGTGTCGCGCCACGACAGACTGAGCGGCAGAATCCCAGGCCGTGGTCGACAAACACATCTTTCAGGGGCAGATACTAGGCGCAACATGAGGCTGGAATCACGATACAAGCCCTCGGCAAATTTATGGGGAGGTGTGGCGGGTCAGGATGCGAAGGTGAATGGGTCTGTCTGTACTACTAAGGTGGGAAAATAGGGGGCCTCCAGCAGAATAGGTTGTCGAGAACCCCAAGCATATGCCAAACTCACACCCCAATCCAAACCTTCATTCACGTCTACCGCTGGGCTCCATGTTGTTCAATCCGTGCCTACGATAATGCAACCATGTCCGCTGCCCGTGTCGCCGTTGTGATAGCCGAGGGAGGTCTTGATGCTAGGGGAATGTGTGAATGTGTGCCGCAATCGTTAGCTGCGGCCTTCCATGTCTTGTAGGAGAGCAATGTGTCACCATCAGAAATGGGATAGGAAAGTGTATCGAGGTTGTCTTACCGCCGGCCCAGATCAGTCGGTGCTTGGTGGCTGGCCGTATAAACCAGACGGATTTTGGGCATCTGGAGCCGCCCAGCTAATCCCAACGGACAAGCCACAGGGCACCACACTCCAGGTCTCTGCCGGCGGGTTGGCCGTGCTTTTAGAGGCAATGCTGCGCCGGTCGGGTGGCTGTCCTGCTCGCGGGCGGCTGGGGCGGCGGCGGGGGTTTGGGTCTGATGATGACATAGGTTTTGCTCATCTCGACGGTGTTGGGAGCGAGTGTCTTTTTCTGTATGCGTGACGGCGGCGAGACGATATGAGTCGTGAGGATGGACGAGAATCGCGTCACGGAACAAGAATGGAAAGCGAGGCGAGAAGGGCCTCTTTGTACGGCGGAGACGGCGACAGGGGGAGACACAGCACGGCTTCCGTGCGCAGACAGGAAAGGTATCGCAAAGGCTATCTATGACGAAGAAAAAACAATGGTTGGAAGGCTGGGGGCTAATCTACGCTGAAAATGGCGGCCGGTGTCCAAAAAACACGACAAAAGCCAGCCCCTGGCCCCCTCGCCAGCCGGTCCCCCTGGGCATCGGTCGTCTGATTGCGCTCGCCCAAGGCCCTCGCATCGCCTGAGTGGGCCAGGTTTGGTCGCACAGCAGATACTCCAACTTCCAAGGACAGTCAGGGTTTGTCCGCCGACAGATTCATGGCCAAGGGGCCGCTGGGTTGGTGCTGGGCAGGTGCCTGCCACTCACTTCCTACACTCGGCTGACCAGGCCATGTCGTGGTGGAACAAAGCACTGGCTAGCAGAATGAGCCCAACAAGTTAGAAGCCGCCCTCCGCCCCAGGTTCGGCATGTGTGGCCTGCATCCCGGTACTGGGGCAAGTGCATGGTGCTGCTGCTGCTGCTGTTGCCGCGCAGAGGAGCAAGCTTGCCCTTATTTTTTGATGTCGCTTCTTTTATGCATGACCCTCTGGCCATACAGATGGCTCGTCGTGCATGTGGGAATCGCCCCTTGCATGCGCTGATAGGTACGAGATGCAGGTACCACGGGCAGGCACATGGGCAGTTGGCGGTCAGCGTGACCTGCTTCCTCCTCTCAAGCATCGGCGACGTCACATGCATGCCTCTAGCCTGCACCACCGTACCTGGCCCGGCTCCTGTCATTTCAACTAGCTGCATAAGTGTGCCCAAGAACTCGGCACAACCACCCAACTTTAATGACAGCTGTGTTTACAAAACGGCACAGCTCGACCGTGCAACGGCCATCTTGCCTTGGTGAAGCAGACGGCTCGCCCTAGGTACCTACCTAGGCAGCCAACTCCAAGAACCGAGGTTCCAGCGTTCTCCGCTGGCTGGAACCTACTTAAGCCGCGCTTTCTGGTTTTTCGACATGCTGCGCGGTCAAGAGGAGAGGAGGATGCGACGCCAAGGTGTGGTCCCTTGAGTGATGTGCTGGCACTCAGCTGTGCCCGTTTTATCCTCGGTCTCCACTGTGGCAAGGGAAATCGACAAGGAAACAAATTTAAGCTACGAGCGAGCGAAACATCACCTGGGCTCCACCTTTTTGTTTTGTTTTGCCGGAGCTTTGGTCGCCATGCATATCGGTAGGTCGGATCACACGACGCCAGTTCCTGGCATCTTTGTGCTCCCCTGAGATCTGCACTGTCCTCCTGCTCCTTCCGGACCTCGGGGACGGTTGGCTGACTGGCTGGCAGTGGGCGGTTGATCCAATCTGGACATGCACGGAGGCATGGGATCGCTGAGTAATTCATGGGTATTTCTAGAAAAATTCCATACCACAATCGCACGGCCATCTTTAGGTACCTGCCAACGCATTAAACGACTCGGTCTTTCCATCGCTCGAGGGCTGATTGATGGGAGGTGCGAAACATTTTGATGCATCCACGACTCCCGTCTTCCCTCATTTTCCCCCACGAGGCCCCTGGAATGGCTAGCGCTGGGTATGTACTTCTTTCCTTGACACCAGTTGCGCCCACCCAACCAGACTAGGTAGAGTTGTGGGGGGAGCCACTTGGTTGCCTGTGCTGATCCCGGAAGGACGGAGGCAATGGATGGCACCCATACCACCTAGGGATCTTCCTCCCTACCGACCGACCAGGTACATGACGGAATGATAGCCCATGTCAGAACTATTGGCACTCTTGACTCTTGATGTGACGATGGCCAGCTTGACGTTTTGCGGCAGTTGCCGACGTCCAGCCAGCATCCGTTTTTATCGCACTCGGGCTTCATTCCATTCCGCTTGACTCGAGGCTGCGCCTCGACGCCGCGCAGGTTTGCGATCCGTAGTGCCTCTAATTGGCTAGGGCTTTTTCAAAAGCAGGCAGGTCAAGGGGCTGGCGCTTGGCTTTGTGTTTGTTTTTCTGCAATGCGAGTGGGGGAAGCGGTTGACCGGTAACCCGTCCAATTGGGATCATGCACCTCGACGGTTGTGGCAGCTTCACGCACACTCTTGCCCCCCACGCCCAGGCACGTGCCAAGACATCAATACCCGAGCCCGGACGCATTCAGGTATGACCGCCTTGCTCGTCTCTGGCATCCAGCACTGTGCGGCCAACCAGTGCCTCTGAACCGAGCTGGTCAAGAGTCGGAATATCCTGGCTGGCACCTGACGTTTCCAAGCGAAGGCGCTCGAGCCCCCCTTCGCAGCCTGAGGAATTCTTCTCGCCGTCTCGAAGCCGAGTCACAGCTAGGCCCTCGGCCTTTGGTATTGTCGCTTCGTGGCCTAAGGCCAGCGCTGCAAAGCTACCCCTGCCCCGACAGAAAAGGATCGTCCTCCTCGGTGTCTAGATCGCGTGAGAGCACAACACACAATTCCCCTTGCTGTCCCGAGAGCCACCGCCCGTGTCGAGCCCGGCTCTGCTCCCCCAGAGTTCTGACACCCTCCACCCAAACTCCAGATAGGGATCTGCCGGGTATGGTTGTGCGCTCCTCCAAGCTTGGTGCGCCCTCTTGGCCGACTTCCTCGCCGTGCTGTTGGCAGCAAGGAATGGCAAATAAGTATTGACTCTGCGCGCGCCGCTGCCCGCGGCCTGGCTCGCCCTCAAATCTGGACCTGGTAACAGAAGCGCGCTTGTGTGTACGGCCGAGAGGTGCGAGATGATGAATGACGGGGAACACCCCCCCTGCCTGCCGCTCCCTGTTGTCAACAGGGTTCCGGCGAGTACAGTCACGGTTCGCGGTCTGCGGTCACGTTTCCTTTCGGTGTCGATAGCAGGACTGGGCTAGTCCGGGATACGAAAGGCTAGTCTCCTGTCTCCACCTGAAATCCAGTCGGACATAAAAGACGGTCGGTCGAGACTGCTGGGCTCACACGCGAAATCCTCCTCTTCTCATCCCTTCATCCAAATTCTAACCAAAGCTACCACTTCCCCCATCTCTCTCTCTCTCTCCATATCTCACCCCAACGACTTGTCTGGCCATGCCTAGTGGCCAAGTTATTATCCGGCCTTCGCCGGTACCGACGTCGCCGAAGGACAACAAGCCCTCCGAGTCAAAAACACCGTCAGCCGGGGACCAGCCACTCGAGGAGAACCCATACACGTAAAACGGTCACGCACCGCGGGCTTAGCCGCAGGTTGCTAATCAACACAAACAAAAACACATCCCTCTAAAGGCACTCGGAATCATCTGGGGTAGGGATCCCGATGCTAATTTTCGGTAAGTTTATCTGGAGTGTGGAACAATCCATGGGGAAGCGGACCACGACGTGACACGGGAAAGGATTTACGGATGAAATTCTAATGAAGCATTATCGACAGTTGGTATTCGGGCGTCAGGCGGCACGGGTCAGGGTGCGAAGACGGATGCGTCTGTCGGCGTTATGGGGATTGGGTAATAGGGGGCGTTCAGGGCAGTGGACAAGACTGCTGTGCTACGGGTGTTGGCCATGCATCCAGCGGGCGGCCATGACTATTCATTTCTTTGTTTTGTTGTATTATTTTACGCTTGCATTGCGTCCCATGCCCGCCTCCTGGCACTCCCCGGGCCCGGGGACGAGGGACCAAGAAAACATAAAGTCTCCACACCACCCAAGTTTAGACCCGCGGTAGGCGGCGGCACCCGGCCAGCAATTTTCCCTGAGCTTGCGAGGCCCCAAATGGGTCCCTGCCTGGCCTACATGTTGGGTCCTTTTGAAGGGAGGGCAAGACCGCGAATCTCGTCTATGAGGAGGAGAGTCGACCCAATGGGGGTCTGGTGCCCCCGCCGTGGGCAGCGGTGACATGCACGTGACGATTGACATACAGAGGATCGGCGTATCAGCCCCAAGAGCGCCGGCGAGAGGGGGATTGGCTCACTGATGTATCAGGCAGGACCAGGTACCCGATGCACTCAATTGGGCGTTGGGGGGATGGCCCAGGGTCCTTGCCGCGGCGCTAGAGTGCCATCCGCTTCTTCCCATAGGTTGTCGCCGCCAGGGCGGTTTGCAGGGCCAAGCTTCGGAAATCTCTCCAGCGCCGCTCTGCTGCGCTATCGCCTCGGAAACCTTGTGTGTGTGTGTGTGTGTGTGTGTGTGTGTGTGTGTGGAGGACTTGGGAGAAGCCAGTCAGTCGGTGGCAGCGGCCTTCCGGGGCTGAAGGGTTGTGCTCCGACAATGCTTCCAATGGGTAAGCTCCGGAATCGGAAGCTGGCACGCGATTGTCAGGGTCGAGGAACCGATCGTCGTTACGGGCCCCAAGAATCAGCCGAACCGCAAAGAAGAGCCCCGCCCCCCTAAACGATGACAGAAACAAATGAAGCTCCAACTTCCAACACACGACCAAAGCATATACTACACAGAAAAAAACAAAAACAAAAACATTAATATAAAAAGCGTAAACGTCGCTTTTTTCCTACGTTTATTTTGTTTAAATCGAACTCTTTGTTAATGCACGTATTGGAGCTTTTTACGGCTCGTGTTGGAACTTACCAAGTGGGCGCATGCACGGGATCCATGGGATCCCCATGCACAAATCCACGATCTGTGCACAAGGCCACCAGAGCTCCTTTGTCCCCTATATAAAAAGGTTGGATCCGTCCTTCTCTTTTAGCAGAATTCCTTTTTTTTAAACCTAAATACAACACTTTAACTTAACTTACCTTTTGATAATTATTAAAATTTAGTTTTACGCTGTTTGGAGCTCCGCGAGCAAAAAACTTTACTTTTAAATCCTTTTTACATTAATTAATATTGCGAAAAGCAATACAAAAAAGCTAAAAAAAGGGTTTTTTATTTAATTATGTTAAATAAAAAATTTAAAAACAAAAGATTATCGGTTTAACGTTTAATAGCGCATTTTTTATTTGCTTTTGGCTATAAAAATTAAAAAAGCATTAAAAAAAAAGCGCTGTGCAATTCCCCAAACTAACATTTTAACCTGGCATTAAATAGCTAGGACGCATTGCTTTAAATAATACCGCTTACCATTTTTTTTTACCAGTTTACTATAAAAAAAATCCTTTATTTAAGCAATTTTTAAAACGCAGGATTAAAGCCCGATAAGCATAAAACAATTTGCGAAAAACGAGTACTTTATGCAAAAAAAGTTATCGATGCTTTAAGCTTATGTTGCAGGCAGAAGGGATAGGCACGGTGTAAGGCTATTCCGGTTGATATGCTCTAAGGAGGAAAGGATCTGTAGTGCAGGTCCCCGTAGGGGCCTCTGCCCTTTATATACACGTGACTCCCTATCCTCCTTGCTTACTAAGCTTCCCTCCTAACGCCTGGAAGCGTTATACGCTTCCAGGCAAGGGGACCGTTCTTCCGATGCCTTAA